GGTTACCAAACCCCGACAACCTGTATTAGGGCGTTACAAGCCCTAAAATATGCGAGGGTTGATACCTTTCTGCACTATTTTTTGATGTTCATGAAAATCGGGGCACCCAAAAAAAAGGTTTTCACCATTTTCCCGTGCCAAAAGTGCCTTAAATCAGCTAGAGGCCCCTGCTTTTGGCTGCGCTGCTTCCGCTTCGGCGCTGTCGTTGGGCGTGGCCTGCAGGGTTCCGCATCCGGTGGCGAAAAAACTGTGCAGATTCAATGCACAAATCGTGGGTAGTGTGCGGGTATCTCTACCAAATACCTTCGAAATCCTTATTTGAAGCCACAGCCATCTCAGATGGCACCGGGGGTACCCAGCCCAATCAAACTGGGCAGGCCATCCGAATCCAAAGCCACACAAAGAAGTCTTTACAGAGAGAGCTTTTACATAGAAGTTTTTACACGAAGAAGTCTTTACACAGAGGGGTTTTTACACACAGGCGCATTTGCACACAGAAGATTTCACACAGCGAAGCCTTTACACAGAGAGTTTTTACACACGGAAGCTTTTACACACAAAAGCTTTTACACAGAAGTCTTTGCACAGAGGCGCCTTTACACAAAGTAACAAATTGAAATTGGCAGCAATTCTTTAGGAAAAACCCTTCGCAGGAGCTTTCGGGAACTCACTTGCTCCCAAAAAAACTGTCTATTTCCAACAAAGTTCCTATTCGTTCCAAAAAACATCAGGAATATCTTTCTGAAGCAGGTCCTCATTCAATAGCTTTCAAGCACACACCGCGATGAAATGGAGGGTCGAGTAATCCGGCGGAGCCGACGATGAGCGTCAGCTCAAAAATAATAAAATACGATAAAATATAATGTAATATAGTTTAATATAATATAATATAATATGATACAATACAATACAATACAATACAGTACAGTACAGTATAGTATAATACGTGCGTGAGAGTATATGTAAGTAGCATATAATCATCAAGCATGGTTGTAGTAATATGTGATCGTATCTAATTGCACATGGTGGTATACGAGATGTATGACTTTACATGGTAGTATATGATAACAAATGATACTAAGTCATCCTGGAAAAGCTTTGTCGTTGTTGTCCCATTCAGGATGGTCCAACTATGATCCCGAGACACAATGCTGATGAACTCATGACATTCATGACCGATGATATTATATATATATATCTATTCACATGATACTGCTAAACACTTGCTGTTGCCATCTGTTGCCATGGTATGCTTCCAGTTCGAAAATTGTGCAGTGTGATGTTTCTGTGTTCCCGTCAGACCTCGCCTTCCAAGGATGCTCACGATAGGCGTGTCATGGCTCACCATCCTTGGAGAATCTTGGAGAAGCAGCTTGAATGGATGCCAGGGATACCCACAAACTGGATATGGGTCTGTTTGAAAATGGGGCATACCCCCATACATTGCAAATTTTATGGGGAAAATGATGATAGACCATTGGATTTTAGGGCATCCTAGTTTCAGACAACTCTTATGTTCACGTAGCCTACATGTACTAGGGGTTCTCTGGTCCCAAATGATAGACATGTCGTTCAACTGTCGTTCCCACTGGATCCAAAGACCCTGATCAGACCCTGATCTTTGTCCAATCACCTGCTGGGCTGGATTCCTAACATCAGGATCAATCCCAGTCTTGCACATGGATCGCATGGCATTATTGGAGGACCCAGGAAGAAAACAAATGTTGAACATTTTTTGGAATCTCTCCAGCTGCAACCAAAATTCTGAGATTGGTTGTGTTTTGCCTCAAATGCAGACCTCACTTGGACGATCTCAGGATTGCCAACACAGGAAGAGTGGTTGGATTCAAAGGTTGGCCATAGGCGAAAGCCCGACATATGGTCAGAGGTTCGCACTAATTTTAGATTGTGTCCCATAAAATGATGGGTATGTAATTTCCCGAAGCTCCTTTCTCCTGACAGGATAGATTTATTTTAAATAGATTTGGGACTGCCAAATTGTTGGACACGAAAGTGTGGGCGAAGAGTGCGGGCTGGTGACATTTGGTTCCCTCTGGATGTCTGTTCAATAGCAACTTGGCCACAGGGGAGCCCGGGATGACCCCATACCAGTGGAGCACAGAGGCTCTTTATCACATGCTTTAATCAATAGCTGGGTCAAGTACTGTAGCCATTGAAACTGCGCTATGCTGGTCACTGTCCGTGTGTAATGCTCCACTTCATCAAAACAAATGCAATACATGATAATATTGTGGGACAGTGTATCTTGCATCGTCAAAGATGCTGATGAACAAAAAACACAATAAAGTGGCAGATGTGCAGAGTCAAAACAACAGCTTCAGCTTGGGGAGACTGCAAACTCCCGACGCCTATTTGCAACATTTTGCAACCCGTTGGATATCAGATATTACGTACGATATCATACACGTTAGATATTCGATTGTCATCGGTACTACGAGTCTGGTCGAAGTTTTGCACTATTTCCCTCCCCTTTTTTGCAGTGCCATGCTCTTCCAAGGTACTGCTTCGCCTCCAGCGTTTGATCCAAGCGCTGTTTCTGCAGCTCGACCTGCATCTTCTCCTCTTCCTCTCTCTCAAGCAACTCCTTGGACACGATACTGCAACTGCTGCTGTTCTGAACCGACGAACCTTTCGTTTCACAGCATCTTGTGTGCCCTGGCTGAGAATGAGTAGACTAGAGAAAACGCACAATACAACCTGAGAAAGATTCTGCAGAACATCTGCAACGTTTTCTAAAGGAGCAGAGTCGAATACCACTTAAATTCTACATATATATATACATATATATATATATATTATCGATTTAGATATGTTTTCACTTTTTCATATATATATATACACCTGAGAAGGGGGGGGGAACGAAAGCCAGGTCGTCCACCGAATTTCACCTAGAGACTCTTCACCCAGAAACGCTTCTTGCACAGACTTTTCACCCAGAGACTTTTCACCCTTGCACATACTTTTCACGCATATACTTTTCACCCAGAGACTCTTCACCCACAAACTCTGCTTGCACATACTTTTCACCCATATGCTTTTCATTCAGAGACTCTTCATCCAGAAACTCTGCTTCTACATAGTTTTCACCCAGAGACTCTTCACCCAAAAAGGCTTCTTGCACATACTTTTCACCCAGAGACTTTTTCACCCAGAGACTCGTCACCCAGAGACTCTTCACCCAGAAACTATTTTTCACTCAGAAACTCTTCGCCCAGAAACTCTTCTTGCACAGATTTTTCACCCATATACTTTTCACCCAGAGATTCTTCACCCAGAAACTCTTCTTGCACACACTTTTCACCCATATACTTTTCCTCCGGAGACTCGTCACCCAGAAATTCTTCTTGGACATACTTTTCACCCAGAGACTCTTCACCCAGAAACGCTTCTTGCACAGATTTTTCATCCAGAGACTTTTCACCCTTGCACATACTTTTCACCCATATACTTTTCACCCAGAGACTCTTCACCCACAAACTCTGCTTGCACATACTTTTCACCCATATGCTTTTCATTCAGAGACTCTTCATCCAGAAACTCTTCTTCTACATAGTTTTCACCCAGAGACTCTTCACCCAAAAAGGCTTCTTGCACATACTTTTCACCCAGAGACTTTTTCACCCAGAGACTCGTCACCCAGAGACTCTTCACCCAGAAACTATTTTTTCACTCAGAGACTCTTCACCCAGAAACTCTTCTTGCACAGATTTTTCACCCATATACTTTTCACCCAGAGATTCTTCACCCAGAAACTCTTCTTGCACATACTTTTCACACATATACTTTTCCTCCGGAGACTCGTCACCCAGAAATTCTGCTTGGACATACTTTTCGCCCATATACTTTTCCCCCAGAGGCTCTTCACCCAGAAACTCTCCTTGCACATACTTTTCACCCAGATACTTTTCACCCAGAGACTCTTCGCCCAGAAACTCTTCTTGCACCTTTTCACCCAATGTCCTTCTCTCTCCACTCTCCTCGAACTAGCTGGCCCATCTATCTGTCCATTGACTGAGCCCAGCAAACCCCAGAAAACCGGACCTAGGGGGAATCGATACCCACCGTCACTATTTTGCCTCCTGGTACACCACCTTGCAAAACCATACTTTACCCCTAAAAACACCACCTATTTTCGCCGTTTTTGGCCCGTTTGGCTACTGTACCCCCCCCCAGACCCCCTATTCTCACTTCGTTCGCAAATAACAACTAACCAGCTTCCCGGCTGGCTTTCGTAATATTTAGATATCTATATATCTATATCTATATCTATAAATATATATAACGTTCAAACAGTTCGACTTAAAGGTCCAGCACACTACACTCCCGCCACTTCATCCCAAATTCGAGCAAACATGTTCAACACTTGGCATGTTCGCTCCTCCGCCCCAACGGCCCACCTTGCCATACAGAGCAACTTTTTCAGTTGCGATGTTCCGGCGGAGACCGGTGCATCATCAAAACGAAGGAAGATGTTGGAAGCACATGCAACTTGACTTGAACTTGTTGGACCTCATCCTTTCAACCTCCACCTTTGCCGATCTTGCAATCTGTTTGCTCCTCTTGATCACCTTTGGCTGGTTTTCTTTACCACTAGAAGAACAAACGTTCTGGTGTTTGCAAGAGTTTCTGCGTGGAAACAAACAAACACAATTGCCATGCTGTCATGTTGCACCTATGTTGTGCATTGAAGCGTGTCGTGGACTCTTGGTCCCGTTTCAACTCAAGATGTCCACGTGTTTTGACAAATGGTCTCAGGGACAAGTGTGTGTGTGTGTGTAAGTCAAGTGGACATGTCAACGACATCATAAAGCACATGTTGCTGGAGCATTAAAACCCGTCCGTTGGTCCAAGCAGTCCAAGCAAAATTCCGAAACAATCACATCTGGTGATTGACACAGAAAGCGCCCATCAAGCATCGACATGAAACATGAACAGGCCTAAATCACTGACAGAGGAGACACGCGGTTTTTTCAGTGCTGGTCAAAGGTTTACAGTCGCAAAGTGTCAAAGGTTTACAGTCGCAAAGTGTCTCCGTAGCCTTGGCAAAGGCAAACAGCTGCTCAACACTGCCAATGAGATGTGATTAGTAGCCATGATTAGTTAAAAACCCTTTAGTGGAGTTAACATGCCTCTTGTTTGCCGCCACCATAGTCAACTACTTGACTTACCAAGTCAGTCAGTTGGGCCCAATTGGAAGCCAACAGACAAAAGGCTTACAATCAACGTGTTTTGATTCCTTGTGTGCTTGACTGCAATAGATTTGTTCTGGCCAATCGAAAAGCCCATGGAAAGACCACCAGAATTCCTCTGGAAGATTGAGATCAGCACGTCTGTCAACAGCAACCGAAGTACCAGGAGGCAGTCTCAGGACAGGAAGAATGCGGAAGAATTGACCGGTTTTTGATTTCGAAACAACAAGAACATTGAGGAGCGAACCGTTCGGATCCACGGCCAAAACCATTCCTCTTGATCCTGGCCGAACATCGGCGAGCTGTTGACCATGGAGACAGCTTGAAGCCCAGGGATAAGGAAAGCTAGCAACCTGGTATTAGCCTGGTACACTATATCAAAACTGAACCTCCAGCATTTAAGTAAATGTTTGAAACACAGGACTTGGAGCTCCCTTGCGCCTCTTCCTTGTCTTTGAAGGCCGAGGACGATGGCGGCGCGGTGAAATTCCTGGTGCTTCAGGGTGAATTCGGTGTGGGCACCATGTGGGTTTGGCCACTGCTGGATGCTCAAAACTGGCCATTTGATTTTGAAGCACCTCATTGTCAGACCCCAGAAACCCCATGTAAATTGCCATGAATTATATGGTGAAGACGCTTTTTAATAGTTTACAATCATATATTGTGAATAAGTGTGCCCTCTGGTTATTTAACAGTTCGCCATGGAATCAATAGGTAAACCATCTATTTCTATGGGCCATCTATACCATGGCTATGTTGAATAACCAGAGGGTACCATCTATAATGGATGGATGGAATATATATATATACACCATAGTTATTTTCCAATTATAAGTGGATGATTATATATATATACCATCTAAGTACATGTCTCCGTATATGCTTTGCTAAAAATTGCTAGTCACACATTCTTCGGATTCTTCGAATCCAACGGAGCCCCATCTCCAGGATGATGGATGGGGGATGGCACCCCAGGGGACCAGTGGGTAATGGGTGGAACATAGCTATGGAAAATGGATGAAAATGGCCCATAGACATAGATGATTTATGATGACTTACCTATCAAAAATGGTGATTGCCCATAGTTATGTTAAACAACCAGAGGTTATCTGGTGTGATTTGTCGTTGGTCGCCATGTTTGTCGCTTAAGCCACAATTTTGTCACTTCAATCATGTTATTGTAGATCATCTCAAACCACTCTGAACCATGATAAATCATGCAAAATATGTAGAAAGGTAAAAACATCTCAAAACTATGTCAAACTCATGTCAACTCACGTCATGGTTTTTCTTGGCCAACCACCCTAGGCCACCACACGAACCCGGACGGTGATGGCGCTTGGGGATTGGCAGGGTGGGACGCGACTTGGTGGCCTCAGCGAGATGGCTGGGGAAATCCTCGAACCAAATGGAGATTTCTAGCCGGAAACTCATTTAGTTCACATTGATGATGGAAATCTCCATGCTTTTTGCCATGTAACTATGTGGAACTATATGGCTGTGAAACTCATCTTTTTTTATGGTGGATATTTTTGGCGAAATGACAATAAAAGGGATGAGGTGACCTAAGATAAGAGGAGAGTTTCTAAAAATTATGGTGGGTATGTCTATAGCAACCCCAAAAATGATCAACAGCCGCCACATGGCGCACTGTGAACTTCATTCCATGCCTTTGCAACAGGTAGAAACAGTCTTGGCAAAATATGGGAGATTCCTGAAATGGTGGCACCGTAATACGATTTTCCATGAAATAAACCATCCAGCGATAAAGGGGTACCCCCATGACTTGTCGGAAACCACCATACCTCCATCATGGCTCCAGCAGAAACTGAAAGCTGGCCGATCGGCGAGCTGTCGAGGCCATGTCATGAAGATGTTGCTACTGATACTGCCAGCACTTCCAAAAGACATAAAAAAAACGTGCATTTATATATATAATATACAATATGCTGTACAATGTATATTATATATATTACATATTTATATATACTTACACATGTATGTCATTAGGATCAAGGAAATTTCATGTTGGCTGATATTTCCAATACTTCGGCAACACTCCAAGTGCAGAATCATAAACTTTCACACACCAATATACAAATCTCACACTGTGCTTTGGCACAACCCATGAAATTCGTTCAAACTAATACAGCATTCTAAGTGTAGGTTAACAATGATATTTACAATGTCTTGGCCAACTCCTGTATGACTCTATGTGGCACAAATGTGTGAATACTGAAATTTCATTCACGGGAACGAATGCATTTCAAATGCCTGTTCTTTGCACACTTATATTAAGCCATCTCTGCACCAAACATGTCCTAGACAAATCCAAAAACTCACCATCAGTTCTGGAGACTCTGTAAATACCAATCAATCCTGGCGCAAACAGTGGCTTGAGGTGCTGACCGAATTCTCGCTGGAGTCACTGGCCTATGGGGCTTGTGTCTCCAGCTGTCAATTTGTTTTTTCAATTCAAAGGTGCACAAAAAAGAACATGTGCTTTTGCCCACTTCAGACATGTCTATTTGCGAGGCAATCTGTTGTGCTTTTGCTGTCCAAAGTCGCAAAACCGGAGACACCTCGACCGCTAAGTGTTTCTCTGGCGGACGAACCAACCGTTCTGGTCATCCCAAGCCACGACAGAAACGAGCATGTATGAATTTAGCGGCCCTTGGGTGAAATCCCAACTAAGTAGCGGCTATATTGCATAATACATTTTGAAGCAAAAATCAATGATCCATTTGGTTCTCAATTTCAACCCCTAAAAAAAGAAAAACCACACAGCACCACACGCCGGAGGCCGCACCATCGCTGTCACAATCCCCGGGCTTTCCTCAAGCTCCTTGTACGAAAATCAACTTTTCCCAGCAAAAATAAAAATAAAAACTTGGTTTGACCAATGCAAAATGGCATTCGACTAGCCAATCAGATCAAGAAAATGATTCAACCTGTCAAACAAATAATAACCAACATAGAACTCGGATCTCCACCAGCAAATTCAGGCGTTTGATTATATTTTTTGACTAGCAAACCATTTGAACCAGCCCGGGCATGGAAAATACCTGTAAACCAGTGCTACTGCTCCCAGGCAACAACCATGCGCCTCTGCGTCTGCAGCTTTGTGCTCCACATGCCAATCCTTTACCAGTTGGACCTGCCGTTTCCAAATGCCAAGAGATGTCTATGATACATCTATAACTATGGTTTATAGGTGATATATCTATAACTATGGTTTGTAGGTGATATATCTATAACTATGGTTTATAGGTGATACAAGTGTGTGAATGATGAAATGTGCTGGAGACAAACAAGTGAACTTCAATGACATGGCAATTCTTTGCGCACTCATATTTGCACTGCCCTAACCAGCCCGGCACCAGACATGTCACAAACATATCCTTAAACCCATCCCTCATCAATTCAGTCAATCAACAAGGGCTTGAAACAGACCAAGCACACACAGTGGCTTGAGGCACTGCCCCAAGCCTCCATTGAGTCATTGGTGTGTTTCTAACACTAATTGGTTTCCAGATCCAAAACTGTCCCACATGTAATCCATGCCATCTACTCGTGAAAACATTGCTCCTATACAGCGAATCTCCACCTCGCAAGCAACGGTTCTAAACACATACCAAGCAACAATGCAAACGAGCATATAGGAATTTTGCGCACCCCTGGGTGCCACATGAGAAACCACCACTGGCAAAGTTCAATGATCCATTTGGATCCACCTCACCATGGTGCCTCAAAATAAATTTGGCATAGGTCAAAGTGGGCATCCCAAAGCATGGATTGCAAACGTTAGATAAACTTATCAACCAAAACCTGCGGTTCCCGAGGTCGCAAAAAGTTTGACCCATACCCAGAGTGATCGCGCCTCCAAGTCACTCATGCCCTGCAGCTTAGGGAACTGCTGGGGGAAGCTGAATTAAATCCCTGCATCAGTTCTACATATATATATATATATACACATGTATATATGTATTTATGTGTATATATATTATATTTGTTGTACGATCTTGGGGCTCACTTGAGCCACTTGTTACACTGAAAGAGTTTGTGAGGATACCAACATAAGATGCATTCTCATGTTCCATTTCCCTTAAACTAAGGGAAAAGCTACATCTCTTATACAAAATAAAATTTCATCAACGCGTTGAGTTACATCATATATATACACATTGTATACACATAAATACATATATGTATATATATATATGTATATATATATATATGTATGTATATGTATGTATATATGTATGTAAAAATGTATTTATGTATGTCTGTCTGTATGTACATACTATGTATCTATGTATCTATGTATCTATGTATCTATGTGTCTATAATTTATGTATCTATGTATCTATTTATGTATTTATGTATGTAAGTATGTCTGTCTGTCTGTCTGTCTGTATGTATATGTAATAGTTAGCTAAGTTGGCTTATAACTAGCATGACTATACATAAACATACATAAACAAGGTTTACTGGTTTACAGTAGACGTCTCGCACTGGTGAATGAGGTTTGAAAGCTACTTACATCTGAAGGGCACAACCTCGTACTGTAAATACATCCAAACCCCAAAAAAACAGGCCACACAAACCGGAGGCCGCGCCGTCACAATCTCAGGGGTGTCTGCAAACGCCTGGTGGGAGAACATGTGCGACTTTTTCTAGGTAAAAAATTGATGGCATTCGACCATCAAAAAACAGATCATGAAAATGATGTAAGCTTCATACAAACAGCATTTGATAGACATAGGCTTTGGATTTCACCAGCAAAGAGATGCCAGCCTCCGACCTGGTGATCCATGTATCTCAATTTAGATCCGTTGGTATCCAATAGGCATATTGCAATTGGCCACATCCATGCCTGGAAACACCAAAAAAAACTATACTACTAGACAACTTGGCCACGGGCCACAAGTTTCATACCAATCTAGGCTTGGCTAGAGGCTGTCCTCCCCCTGGGCATCCAGCAACCACACACAGTTCATTCCGATCAAGTGGATGCTGCCATACCTTGCTGAGAATCGGGAAACTTCGACATGCTCAATCCTTCAGCCAAGGTCAGGCACGGTTTTTGGTCATTTCCAATATGTTTCCTTATCCAATCCCATTCTGAGGTTAAAACGCGTTGTTTGCTGGTTTAGTCAGTCCCCATCGTTGCTGGCCAAGAAAACACTGTCATTATTTGAATCCCCCATTTTTGTCGCTTAAGCCACACTTTTGTCAGTTCGGTCACGTCAAATCATGTTAATCTTGTCAAATCATACCAAAATATGTACAAACCATGTCAGACCATGTCCATTCATGTCAAAACATGAATCACGTCCAAATCATGCTGAAGAATTTTACATCATGTCGATCTTGTCAAATCAGGTCAAAAAATCATAAACAATGGTAAATGATAGAAGCCCTTTGCTTGTCTGGCCACTGGGCCGCCACATGGAACGGCCGTGGACTGCGTGGACTCGCTATTGGCTTCCTGAGCGCTGGGAAAGCTGGGAAAGGGCAACCCTGGCTGCGAGAAAAGCCTAGCAAGTTTGGATGGTTTAGACCATCCATAAAAAATGTGATGACTTGGGGATGGATAAAGGAAATTGGGTGAATCCCAGATTACTAAACATGGCTACGTGATTCAATTATGTTTCATGGTGATAAAATGGTGATTAGTGGCTGGATTTTTTCTGATGCAAAAATGATCTGTATAAATGGTGAATAATTGTTGATCATGGTGATAAATAGTGATTAATGTTGATGAATGGTGACTAGTGGTTAATTACTTGGTTAATAATGGTCATTAATGGAATTACCATCCCGTAATCAGACATGGCTGGCTGGAATGGAGGTTTATAGCTGAGGGAATCATCTTTGGATGCTGGATTTTCCATTGCCATTTTTGATGACACCAGAAGGTAACCAGGAAAATCCAGCATCGATATATCCGGACATAGATACTACAAGATATTTCCAGATATAGATTAAATTTTATCTTTTCTGGTTATAGCAACCCAAAAAGATGCCCAGATGCCATTGACTTTATCTTTCCCGGTCCACTTTTCCCACTTTTTTATCTCTATATTTTTTTCATCGAAGTACCTGGGTACAACCAAAAAGCTGTAAGAACAACACCTGACTTCTTCACATGTGCAGCATGTGACAAGGTGTTATTCATGTTCCACCTCCAACACCTAGGTGAATGTAAAGCACAAACCGCTGCAGATGTATCGCTTGTTGACATGTCCTGTGCTCATGAAGAGGCTGGGTCTGAAATCAATGTTGCTACTGATACGCATGAGGAGGAGATGGGGCAGGATAAGCTAGCACTTCGTGTATATCTATTTAAATTATTAATTTTGTATATGTATACTTACATGTGTATGTCATTAGGATCCAGGAAATGCATGTTGGCTGACGTTATCAATACTTTGGCACCACTCCAAGTGCAGAATCACAAACTTTACAAATTAATATTCTAAGCGTGTACAATGTTTTGGCCAACTCCTCTGTATGGCACAAATGTGTGAATGCTGAAATTTAATAGAAAAAATGTTTTCCAATTGCGGTTCTTTGCACACTTATATTAAACCATCCCTGCACCAAACATGTCCTAGACAAATCCAAAAACTCACCATCAGTTCTGGAGACTCAGTGCTTGAGGTGCTGACCGAGGTCTCACTGCAGTCACTGGCCTGTGGGGTTTGTGTCTCCAGCTGCTTTTGCGATTCAAAGGCGCACGAAAAAAGAAACGAAAATGTGCTTTTGCCCGTTGCCTCCATAGTTCAAGTATGTCTATTTACGAGTCAATCTGTTGTGTTTTTGCTGTCCAAAAACGGAGGCGGCGCCATTGCTGTCACAGTCTCCAGGGTTTCTTCAAACTCCTGGTACGAAAATCGACCTTTGCTATGAAAAAAACTGGACTTGACCGACCAAAGAAAAATTACATTCGACCAGCAAAATCAACTCAAGAAAATGATTCAGCCTGTCCAACAAATAATAACCAACATGGAAGTCGGATTTCCACCAGCAAATTCAGGCCTTTGATTAATATCTTTTGACTAGCAAACCATTTGAACCAGCCCAGGCATGGAAAATAGTTGTAAACCACTCCCAGGCAGCAACCATGCGCCTCTGCGTCTGCAGCTTTGTGCACCGCATGCCAGTTCTTTGCCAGTTGGGCCTGCCATCTGTCAAGAGATGTGAAGAGCGAACCACTCACAGAAGTGAACGGACTAATGTAAGTGTAATTTCAAAGGGACCATGATTTTTGCATCAAAATAGTCGTGTCCAGGAAATGTTCCCTTCAGTAAATTCTGGGAAAGAGCTGGTGAATTCAAGTCATTTTTTCGTCATAGTGTGATTTCACTTTGCAGCAATGACGACATGAACAACACTTGCTACACATTGATTGAGTAGAAAATAGAAGGTGCATATGTTAATGTAAAGTGCGTTTATCTATTGTAGATACATACTTCAAGTTTGCGTTCCTCCATGCAAAACATGATTTCGTGTATCAAAACAACTTCGTTTTCAACGGTTTGTGGTCGGGCACCCGATCATAGAAGTCACCAGCCCGAGTGGACAGCGTCAGTATCATGGCTTTTCAGTCTACTGTACAGTGCAAAGTTAAACATGAGACCGCGACTCTGGTCAAGAATGTCCGAAATCGTGAAGTTAAACCTCATTTGACTCTGACCTATTTTAAACCCACAATTGCGAGAGCAAACAGTAGAAAAGCCAGGGGCAAGAATGTTGTCTATGCAAGCAACTATGATACGGACCTGAAGGATTTGAATGATCTAAAGATCAACATGTTATCGCCCTGGACCCGAAAACGGACAAAGATTGTCTTGCGTCTGCAATAACAATTCCAAACTGAAGAAAATGTTTGTATCTTGATCAAAGCGACATGTTTGGGCCAGAAGGGCTTTGCCGGAAGACTGTGTAAAACCAACCCCACATGCTGCCACGCAACCCTGATTTGCAAATTGATCTGTGACTGTGAAAGAGCTGGATGCCAAGATGGAAAAGTTCCCCGCAGGAGGAACAAGCAGTTCCCTTCTTTGAAGCCCTGTTTTTTTTCTCCCCAATGGGAAGTCAAAAAGGGTGAAACACGCGCCTTGTGAACAAGCTAGTGCAATGTTGGGCACGCTGAACAAAGTTGGCTGTTGTCTGCAGTTGATGTTTTAGACATTTCCGAATTGCACAGTTTCCACTGACACAAATTTGGGAAAAAAAAAATTGAAGGGAACGGCAACTGGCAGGAAAACCAATACAAGGTACGCCATGTCATTGCAAAGTTCAATAAAGAAATCACAACAATACCGCATACATTGATACATCGGTCATGTCATGATATTCAAATACCGCGCCATGACTTGGATCATGTCATTTCTCAATTGAAAAATAGTGATCTTTGCACCACCAGTGGCCAGTCATCCAAGCTAGGATCCATGTTTTCCATATCTCACCAAGGACTCCCCAGGCTTGGCCACTGATCTCCTTTGGATGGATCTCCAGCTCAGGTTCACTTTGGCCCACCTCAAACTGCAGGATGCCCCAAAATCATCCCAAATTCGTCATGTTTCGTCATGTTTCACGGGGAAACCAAAGATGGGAAGGGGTAGCCTAAATTTCCAAAAACCCCCATCTTGGGCGTATCCACCGAACTGATGCGCATGTCCCACACGAATCATTTTATTCTACAGAACCAAAAGAAATGTGCAGCCCAAAACTCAGATAACATCGCAAATACAAATAGGATTGTCAGGACTTCCGCATATGCTGTCCGTCCGGTGCTTCAATTTTAGGTGACATGAGGTAGGCACTCAATTTTTTTAGCTGGATTTGTTTTGGGTGAAATCAAGAACCCATTAATCCCTTCCCCCTATTACTAAACCCCCCTCCCAAATAATAACAGAACAGGCCACCAGGGGAGTGCGCAAATTGCGGCATTTCCTGTGCAAAGATCCAACAGCATATGGCGCAACCGGACAAAATTGAATTCCATTCCTCTCCGCTGTTCATTGGCTGAACGCACTATGTCATAGCAAATATTGCTGTACTGTAGTGTATCGACCTTGCTTCTAGTGCAACCACTGACAGTGCCTGGCAATCTCTGCTTGGCACATCTGCAATGGCTATCCACACACAAACCAAAAAAACAAAAAAACAAAAAACAAAAAAAAACACTCTGCATCTGACCCCCTCCCCTTGGGGTGTGCAATCTTGTTTTTTTTGTTTTTTTTGGTTTTTTGGTTTTTTGTTTTTTTTGGTTTTTTGGTTTCTTGGTTTTTGGTTTTTGCCTGCCCGACTAGTTTCGCAATTCTGCTCACAAGTCTTCGCCTGATTCGCTCCTGCTTCGCACGTGCTTCGCATCCAATTCGTTCAGTCTCCATGGCGGTTCCCAATGATGATCTCTCTTTGTCGGCTGCTATCGAGGCCACAGAGCATCTGACTTTGAGGGAGTTGACTACTCATGTTCATGTGGGGCCCCTCCCCATAGGCACCATGACACCGCTCGCGCTGCCTCTGAAGGAGTTTCTTGTTTCTCCATACTGGTATCCCGTTTCGTGTTTCCATCTCTTTACTGCTAAAGGGTTCAAAGTACATCTCATGTTTAAGGTCTATCAAAATGTCTGCGTAGCCTCTTCCCAGGATCAATCCCAATAGTCCAGCCATCAAGCACTTCCTCGACATCATCTACGATGTGGATCCAAACCGGGTCAATGTGGACAACCTCAAGGCCATCATCCGGAATCAGGCTTGGAGTGAACTTCCTGACGTCATGCAGATGGCTAGCAGGCCCACCTTTGACTATGTGAGCCAGTACTTTCTGCTTCCACAGGTAAATGAAAAGGTCTGTCTCATCAAGCATTTCTACATCAAGGATGACAAAATCAAGGGACAATATGTCGCACGCTTGGTGAAGGGCCAGGGCTTTGAGATCTCATGGCAAGGGGTCAACAAGCACAAGGCAAGGAGGGGATTCCAATACATGCTGGAGCAGCTCGGTGGCAATCAATTCCGACGTTTCTCTTTGAGTGCTGAAAAGCGCAAAGTCATTGCAGGCCGTCCCCCTGCAAATGGAGAGGATCAGGATGCTGGGTGGGATTTCATCATCCAACATGGAGAACGTGACAAGGGCAACCTCAAGCAACTCCGCTGGATCCACCGCAACATCAACGGCGATGGTAGTCCTATCCATGGATGGAATGAAAAGCTCGTTCAAAGGGCTTTGGACTCTTTGGCCAATGATGGCACCATGGCGGCTGTCATCTCCCGGTACAACCTCACTATTGATGCCCTTGAGCCCGATGTCCTTGAGATCATTGAGAAAGTTGTTCCTCACCTTCGTGGCCATGCTCTCTGGCTTCTTGGAGAACCCGGTGTTGGGAAGACCCTCCTGGGTCGAATGCTTGCCATGATGTTTTGCGCTTTCATGGAGGGACTGGCACCTTCAGATCAGCCAGTGACTTCGATTTCTTTAGGGGCGTCTTCTTCGACAAGACCTGCCCTGCTCTCCATGATGATGGAGAGATCGGGGGGGAGTTGATCAAGAAGAAGAAAGCCTTCAGCGACGTTGGCGACCAGGAGACTATCCTCAAGGAAAGGTGGACTGCCGCCAAATTTGTGCAACATCAAATGAGAATCGTGCTTGACAACCAGTATGATCCAGCCGATGAGCCCCCAGAGGTTGCGTTGGAAGATTTCATCTCGCATACTGCCTTCATGAAGTTGGTGAAGCCTGCTTTGGGCTCCATTGCTGCTGCAGATGCCAGAGCCATCCTCAAACGTGCAGTCTTCATGGTCTTCACCAAAGAATTCATCTACTACCGTTTCCCCACGGAGAAGGAAGTTGATGTGAAGCGTCTGAAGTGGCCTCGTGGTGATCTCCTGAAAGACTCCTGCAAGCACATCATTGGCAACATGAAGGCAGGAGGTCCCATGCCTGATGACTATGAAGATCGAGTCGCTTGGGAACAAGCATGACCATCCTCAAGCAGAAGCACCTCCTGCACCACAATCCTCTACACCAATGCTTGATGCGTTGCTCCGTGCTGATGGTGCTGTGCCGGCTGCTACTTTCAAGCCTGTCCCTGTGAAGCAAGAGTTTCCTGGACAACGTTTTCGCCATCTTCGCTCTGCTTCTGTGTTCATCAATCTCAGTGACACACCTCCCCGTGCCTCTGGAGGTGCTTCATCCCAGCAAGATGAGATCTCTCTTCCTGCAGTTGGAGAAGCTCCTGATGAAGGTGAACTTGAAGCAGACAACAGCGGTGGTGCTTCCTACAACGACGCTTGCTTGATCGTGTCCTTGCAGAATCTTGGCTTGCCTGTCTCTTGCCCTTCCCATGGTCCCTTCTCAGTCTCCTTTGGGAATACTCTTCTCTTGCCTTTGGGAGTACAAATGTGCAATTTGATCCGTCCAAAGTCTTTGGCAAATGGCAACTACATTGTCCATGACAAGTCGCATGCCCACTTCTTTGCACTGCAAGTTCGAGAAGGTTTGATTCTCAAGAAAGATGGAGACCACACATCACGCTTGTCTCTGAGCACAGTGATGAATATGTTGACCTCCGATGTGTATACCTTCTACATCTTTCAGAGGCAGTCTCCCGCGGCATCGCTCTCAGTAGGATGCAGTGGGAGGAGCCACCGTGAAGAAATTCACAGGTTCCCTTGAGCATTGTGTCTGCTTTGGTTGTTCTGGAACTCTTGGTCATCATCGAGATGTTGATGCAGTCCTCTACACCTTGGATGGGCCTATCAACATAATCCATGAACAGAAACAATGCTCAGCCAGAAATTGCAGGACATGCTATGGCCACAACTACCGCTGGGAAAATGGCAAGAAGATCAATACAGTAGCTCTTGCCGATTTGACTGATGATGTGCTCTTCATCAATTCCAAGAAGGCCTTCTCTGTCAAGTACTTGAAGTATCACGAGGAGCTTTTCTTTCGTGGTCATTTGTCCAGTGCTGCAGTCTCTCATGCATATCATACCGTTCATGAAGATGCTGATGCGCATATCTTGTCTCATTTCCACAAGCTTCACGGCAATGCCATCTTCTATTTCATGGCTATTCGAGAGCTGGAGGCTTTGGACGTGCACCAGTCCATTGTCATCGATGATGAGTTGAATGATGCCCACCTCGAGCTATATGAATCTTATTGTCTCAGCTCTTTGCTTCCACCAGCAGATCGTCGCAAAGTCACTTCCCTTGTCATTGACGGTCATCAGAAGGTCAAGATGCAGTGTGCCGAAGCCCCCTCCAAGCGTGCAGGGCGCCCACGCAAATCTGAGACAACCGTTGGAAATTACACAAACGGTTGGATGATGGCCTGCGACCCCACCTCTGGGCGCATACTTGGATTGCAGAGCATGTTTGAGCCTGAAGACAACCAAGTTGCTTCTGACACACTGGAGAAGATCTTATGGCTGTATCCAAAGGCAGATTGCTTGATCTATGATCGTGCTTGTGCCTTCCAGTCCTTTGCCAATGCCAATGCCAACTTGGAGCAGATCAAATTCTCCTCTGTTGATGCATTCCATGCGCATTCTCATTCCAAGACGTGTCCTTGCAACCCCCGTGCTTCGGTCTATACGCATATTTTTTTGCAAACCTAGATAATTATATATTATTTTCATGCTTGTCCATGTTCATCTTTCTATGTGCTTTGTTTTTTTAATTTCCTGTGTGGTATGTCACACCAAGGGTATCGTCGCAAATTGAAGCTTCTCATTGGGAAGATCAACACCAACATCTGCGAACAGGTGTTTTCTTGGGTTCGCAACTTCGCACCCATTCTCAACGAAATGCGGCCCAACAGGCATAGATTTTGCTTACTCTCCTTGGCTCGTCGCCACAACATCAGCATCAGCAAGGGAGAAACCAACTACTTGCATCTCACACGCAGGAACATGAACAAAAAGATCTAACGGTATGGCTGCCACAAAAAGAATGTCAAGGGCATATTCATCATGAAAATGATGAAGAACAAGATCATGAAAATCATGAAGAAGCCTGCCCAGAAGTCTATGAAGTGAACCTAATGAGAGCTTAGACGGCCCGCTTCTGTTACATATTAGGCGCTTCAGTTCATCCAATCGAGGTGGTTTGGTTGTGATGATAACTTAAATACAAATTAGCATTCTGGTTGGTTGTATGCACTATCGTATGTGGATTCTGATTTGTTGTATAGGTGACAACCTCATGTGATTGGAAATTTTGCAGAGATGACAGATAGATCTAGGCAGCTTAACATGGAAAAAAGTGCACTCCCACAGTGGCCAGCTCTCCAGAATAAAAACTAGGGTCCGTCTATAATTTTGGAAAATTTCAGGTTGGCCAATTTGACTTTTAATTGATCCCTGCGGGGTTCGCCCCTTAATAATAAAAACTAGTTAACCCCGGGGTGTTTATTATTAGGGTCCGTCCGAAAATTTAGTTTTTTGCATTAGGATGTTTCATTGAATATTAGGGGGAAGCTTCGAAATCCAATTTTTGGCAATATTTTTATTGGGTTATAGATAGAAGGAAATTGAATTCGTTTTGAAATCGAAAAAAACTAGTTTTCATATGAGGGGTTTTAATTTATTAGCAGGGTCCGCTTCGAAATCCAATTTTGGCAATATTTTAATTGCCTTATAAAAGGAAGTTTAATTGATTTTGAAATCGAAAAAAACTATTTTTTATTAAGTGTTTTAATTCCCGAGAGCGTCTGAGCGCAGGGTTCTTCCAATAGTGGGGGTCTGTATCTCATCTTCTCATCTTCACACCTTCTCATCTTCACATCTTCTCATCTTCACACCTTCTCATCTTCACATCATCTTCACACCTTCTCATCTTCTCATCTTCACATCTTCTCATCTTCACATCTTCTCATCTTCACATCTTCTCATCTTCACATCTTCTCATCTTCACACCTTCTCATCTTCACATCATCTTCACACCTTCTCATCTTCTCATCTTCACATCTGCTCATCTTCACATCTTCTCATCTTCACATCTTCTCATCCTCACATCTTCACATCTTCACATCTTCTCATCTTCACACCTTCTCATCTTCACATCTTCTCATCTTCACATCTTCTCGTCTTCACATCTTCACATCCTCACATCTTCACATCCTCACATCTTCACATCTTCTCCTCTTGCCCTCTTGGCCTCTTGCCCTCTTGCCGCTTGCCCTCTTCTTCACATCTTCTCATCCTCACATCTTCACATCTTCATCACATCTTCACATCCTCACATCTTCACATCTTCTCCTCTTGCCCTCTTGCCCTCTTGCCCTCTTGCCCTCTTGCTCTCTCCTTCTTTTCTATTTCTCTTCTGAAGGCGGGGGCAGGGGCAGTGCCAACGAGACGGCACGAAACGCAACCCTTTCGCACGAAACGAGGTTCGATCGCCAAAAACTGAAGTAAAATTGCGATTTCCAAGTCGTCCCGCGCGACCCTTTCGCACGAAACGAGGTTCGATCGCCAAAAACTGAGGTAAAGGTGCGATTTCAAAGTGTCCGGCGCAACCTTTTCACACGAAATGAGGTTCGATCGTCAAAAACTGAAGTAAAATTGCGATTTCAACTTGTCCGGCGCAACCCTTTCGCACGAAACGAGGTTCGATCGTCAAAAACTGAAGTAAAATTGCGATTCAACTTGTCCCGCGCAACCCTTTCGCACGAAATGAAGCTCGATCGTCAAAAACTGAGGTAAAATTGCGATTCGAGGTGTCTTGTCTTGATTATGACAACCTTTCCCTTTCTATTATGTTGATGCAAGAGGTCGCGTGTTTCCAAGCATGCAATCGAGGCGCTGCGAGGCTCGGCGAGGCCTGGGCGAGGCCACGCCGCGGACGCAAAACGTGTTGGCACAAGGACAAAGCGAGGCTCATGGGGACTCGAAACTACAAATACTATTGTTGAAGTCCCAGCAAGGCTGAACTTGAAGTAGTTGGTGCCTGTGCTGCCTCGCTAGAATTTTAAGCCGCAGCTGGCGCAAAGGGACGGCCTCAAGGCAAGCCTCGAGGCTTCAAGGTTATGGAAATTGCAGCAAACCCAAAAAAATTATAGGATGAAACAAAGTTGGAGGCAGGCCTCAATGCAAGTCTTGAACTCCAGTGTCGCGAGACCATGGAAATTAGAACAAAACACGTCAGGGCAGGCTTCGAGGGGGGCCTCGAGGGCCTCAAGGCTATGGAAATTGGAGCAAAACAATGTGACAAAGAAGGGGCCTTTTTTTGGACCTCAAAACGTAAGAAAAAGCAGGCGCGCAAAAAGGGGCCTCCCCAGTTCAAGATTCCAGCCGCAGCTGTTGCTGGTCAAATCAGCTTCAACTTGAAATAAACGCCTCAACAAATTTGCCACAATGAAGGGGTCAAAAAGGGACGAAAACTAGACCCTCCAGGCAAAACCACTTTTGATTTCAGCGGGGCCACTTTCTGACCCTTTTTGAAACACGTTTCTTTTGCACGGGGGTCCAAAACTGGACCCTCAGCAGGTTGAATCCGGTGCCTCCTTGAAGGTCCAGTTTTAAGCCCACCCATGCACCTTCTTCAGCTGCGCTGGTCCAATGTAGAAACACATCAACCTCACACAATCCAACATCGAGTTGGCAAAAAGCGCCTCGAACAGTTCAAGATTCCAGCCGCAGCTGTTGCTGGTCAAATCAGCTTCAACTTGAAATAAACGCCTCAACAAATTTGCCACAATGCAGGGGTCAAAAAGGGACCAAAACTGGACCCTCCAGGAGGGACCACTTTTGATTTCAAGCGGGGCCACTTTCTGACCCTTTTTGAAACACGTTTCTTTTGCACTGCCTCCTTGAAGGTCCAATTTTAAGCCCACCCATGCACCTTCTTCAGCTGCGCTGTTCCAATGTAGAAACACATCAACTTCACACAATCCAACATCGAGTTGGCAAAAAGGGCCTCGAACAGTTCAAGATTCCAGCCGCAGCTGTTGCTGGTCAAATCAGCCTCAACTTGAAATAAACGCCTCAACAAATTTGCCACAATGAAGGGGTCAAAAAGGGACGAAAACTGGACCCTCCAGGGAGCACTACTTTTGATTTCAAGCGGGGCCACTTTCTGACCCTTTTTGAAACACGTTCTTTTGCACGGGGGTACAAAACTGGACCCTGGGCTTAAAAAGTTCAAGATTCCGGCCGCAGCTGTTGTTGGTCAAATCAGCTTCAACTTGAAATAAACGCTTCAACAAATTTGCCACAATGAAGGGGTCAAAAAGGGACCAAAACTGGACCCTCCAGGAGGGACCACTTTTGATTTCAAGGGCCACTTTCTGACCCTTTTTGAAACACGTTCTTTTGCACGGGGGTCCAAAACTGGACCCTCAGCAGGTTGAATCCGGTGCCTCCTTGAAAGTCCAGTTTTAAGCCCACCCATGCACCTTCTTCAGCTGCGCTGTTCCAATGTAGAAACATTCACACAATCCAACATCGAGCAACTCCGTCTCCAAAAATCATATCAGTTTCAGGTGCAAAAACGAACGCCAAAACTAGCCTCTTGTACCTTCTTGTCTTGATTATGACAACCTTTCCCTTTCTGCTTGTTGATGCAAGAGGTCGCGTGTTTCCAAGCATGCAATCGAGGCGCTTCGAGGCTGGGCGAGGCCACGCCGCGCATGTGGTCGTCATGTCTCACTTGCACGTTGTGGCGATGCCAAAGACCAGAAGCTTTTAGCTCGGACGCAAAACGTGCCTCGCTAGAATTTAAGCCGCAGCTGGCCAAAGAGACGGCCTCAAGGCAAGCCTCGAAGCTTCAAGGTTATGGAAATTGCAGCAAACCCAAAAAAGTATGAAATTAGAACAAAACTTATCAGGGCAGGCTTCGGAGGCAGGCCTCGAGGGCCTCTAGACTATGGAAATTGGAGCAAAACAATGTGACAAAGAAGGGGCCTTTTTTTGGATCTCAAAACGTAAGAAAAAGCATGGGCCTTTCCAGTTCAAGATTCCAGCCGCAGCTGTTGCTGGTCAAATCAGCTTCAACTTGAAATAAATGCCTCAACAATTGCCACAATGAAGGAGGGGGAACCACTTTTGATTAGCGGGGCCACTTTCTGACCCTTTTTGACACACGTTTCTTTTGCACGGAGGGTCCAAAACTGAGCCCTCAGCAGGTTAGAATCCGGTGCCTCCTTGAAGGTCCAGTTCAAGCCCACCCATGCACCTTCTTCAGCTGCGCTGTTCAATGTAGAAACACATCAACCTCACACACTTACTGGACCCTCTGCAGGTTGAATCCGGTGCCTCCTTGAAGGTGCAGTTTTAAGCTCACCCGTGCACCTTCTTCAGCTGCGAGCAACAGCTGTTGCTGGAATCTTGAAATTGAGCCCTGCCTACTTTGTTTCATTCTATGCTTTTTTGGGTTTGCTGCTATTTTCATAACCTTGAAGCCTCGAGGCTTGCCTTGAGGCCGTCTCTTTGCGCCAGCTGCCACACAGCTGCAGGAAGCAACTCACCATGATGAGCTCCAAGAGCACTAGAAAATGTACCGATGATGCTGATGCTTGGAAAAGAACAACTAAGACTCTGAGCGGATACCAAGAGAGAGAGAGAAGGCGATCTTGTCGAGTAGTGGTATAATGGCCGTCTCAGGATCGTGCATAGACAGG